CATTGTTTTTCCACTTCTTCCTGTAAGAAGCCCTGGTGATATAATGGTTAAACATATAGCTTCTAACCAAAAGTTAGTCGTTGGAACCTACCAGAGGCTCTGTAAAAAATCAAAGCTACAGGGGCCTTTTTACAAGGACGGAGCCAAAAGCAAAGAAGGAAGCCCCTGCCCCTCCCAAAACTGAAGCCAAAGCAAAGGCGTTACAGGCCAAGATGGCAGTCCTGAAGGGCGTCCACAGCCACAAAAAAAAAAAAAAAAAAAAATCTGCATGTCACCCATCTTCTGGCAGCCTAAGATGCTATGACTCTGAAAGCAGCCCAAATACCCCTGGATGAGCACCTCCAGGAGAAACACATGTGACTACTATGCCATCATCAAGTTTCCCCTGACCATTGAGTCAGCCATGAAGAAGCCATGAAGAAGATAACAACACACTTGTGTTCATTGTGGATGTCAAGGCCAACAAGCACCAAATTAAACATGCTGTAAAGAGGCTCTATGACATTGATGTGGCTAAGGTCAACACTTTGCTTAGGCTTGATGGAGAGAAGAAGGTTTGTGTTCAACTTGCTCCTGACTATGATGCTTTGGATGTTGCCAACAAAATAGGGGTCACCCAAACTGAGTTCGGCTGGCTAATTCTAAGTACATATTTTTCACACACACACACACACACACACACACACACACCCTACCTTGTGGGGAAACCCTAATGGTAGTTCTTCTCCATCAGGTAGATTCACCATGAGTTGGAATTTAACTGTTGACACACACCAACTCTATTTTTAGAGCCAGATTTAAGTGTCACTTTGTACAATATTTTCAGTCTTCATTGATTGCTTAGAATTCTCATCTCCAACGCATTATGCTATTTAGTGGACAGTGTCTTATTTATTTTCCAATATTTCATATAGTGTTTTTTATACACAGGCTATCTTCTATGTTTTGTTTGATTGAAATAATAAAATAAGGAATTAATTTGTTTAAAAATGTTAATTATCTATCCTTTAAAAAAAAACATACAATGCCTTAGCCATTTTTGTTAAATTTTGCCTATTATCCTTCCCATCAATCACACCACGTCCTTAGTATCGAGAGGTGAAAAGCTCATCAGTGAAATGCTACTGAATTGTAAGTGAATTTTTATGTGTGCCGAAGGTTATCAGAGAAAAATTAAACAAAGAACAGCAATAAAGTTCAAATATTTTCAAAGAAGTTCTGCAAGAATATCCTAATAGAACAAATAGTATCAAAGATTTTAAGCCACGAAAAAGCTTAGCAAACTCAGTATACAGAATTTATTCTTAATACTCTCTGTTTAACATGATTTATTCCTTCTTAGAACATTGTATATATATAATCAAACACAATTTTGCTTCCTAGTCTATACATGCATTCTGTTATCTATTGGGAAAGGAAAGTAATATTAAAATGACTCCAGGGGGGTAAAAATAAGAGATAGCAAAGAAGAGGTTCAGTTTATGTCAGAAGTTAGTTTTTATACACTTGCAATAAATACATAGATAAAACAGTAATATCACTGACTTTCAATTAAGGGTGTTTTTTTTTATTATCACTTTTTCTTTTTCAATTTCAAGATGTTTATAAGCCTCTATGGGGTAAGGAGTGGCACTGCCAACCCAGAGGCCCACAGTTCAAGTGCAATAGCATGTCCTTCCATGCGATTTACTGTCTTTGAAAACCCTCTGGAGGGTCAGCAAATACCATTATGCTCTCAGTAAAAGCTTCACTTGGAAGTGCTCACATGTTTATCACCATTTAATTCTAAATTATTAAATAAAAGTTAAAAACTGGAGCTGGTGTGTTCCAATTGCAAACTGCAAAGAAAAACATTTCAAATCAAATATTCTAAGTAAGAGACCAAACAGATCACCCTTCTAGCAAGAAATTCTGAAAATGGTGATTAAAACAATGATCAAATAAACTAATACATTAACAAGAGAGGAACCCCTATTTTTAAACTTTTTCAATTAAATTCATCCATCACATGTCCTTATTTGATCTCTCAATGTGTTATTCCCCCACGCCCCATCTTTTTTTTTAACCAAGGATAATAAATAGCATGACAAAAATCTTGCTGTGTGGCCTCATAGCCTTTTATGGTGGGAAGATACATTTACCACAACTCTTGCTTGCCTTTTCATTTGACTAGGAGTTTGTTCACAGCTTAAACACAAAACATTTTCTAGATGTGTATATGGGATTTGTATTTCATCTTTAATATATGGTCCTTTATAAATTGGACAACTCAATTTCCTTTACTTTTTTATTCCTATCTCGATAACTTTCAGTATATTTAGGTTAGGTAAAAACCATTACTTTGTTAGGCCTAAATTGCTTAAAATAGATTAAGACTAGCAAGAAGTTAAATTTGCACTAACTCACAAAGCAAACATTTACTTAAATGTTAATCTGAAAATGACTCTTGAAAGACATTTAATTGATTATAAATCTCTTATGACACTATTATGTAGCTTATTTATACAAAGTTTGTCAGTCCGAAGCATAGCTTTTCAGGCCAGGCTACTGTTGTTATAAGGCATGCTTCAGTACACTCACATACTACAACTACTCCAAACAACAGCTATTCATCGCTAGACAAGATACTTCACGAGAAATAACTGTGAATTCTTGGACTCTGAAAGAGCCTCGATGCTTTTAGAGGATCTGTCCCCTAGGGGTGAAGGGATCAGTGGGAGACAGCATTATTGGCCAGAATAGTAGGTAAAGAATGATCTGAGCTTAGAAGTGGGCCTCATTCAAAAGCCCTGTTTTCATTAACACTCTTAAGTGAAATGATCGTTTGTATTTCTGCTCTTAAAAGTGTTCAGCAGCCTCAGGGCACAAAAAAAAGAAATGGGGGGGGGGGCTTAGAAATAGTTTAGATAGAAAAATATGAAAAGTTTGTACAAGACCAGAGAAAGCTTCCCATTGATAGCATTTATTAACAACCTTCCTCTTATTAATTCCATTTACACTGAAAGTGTGTATCTAGGAAGTTATTTTAATAAAGATAAATACAACTAAGCAAATCTTAGTTGAAATCACAAGTACACCTCAAGTGACATTATTTCTCTGTAAAGTTTGTATTCTATCAAACAAGAACTTGGTTCACATAAATGTCTAACTGATTCCCTCTATTCTTTTGTAATGTATAGAAACAGTTAATATTTTTTAAATTATTCAAGATATTTATTTTACTCTGTGTAGTTTGTGCATTTGTTTTTCTTTCCCCCCCTCAGAATATAGTCTAAATTAAATGTTGGATAAAGTATTTGTTATAGTAATAATTGTATATTCTAATTATTTTATCCACATAAAGCTAAACCTTTTTAACATACAACGTATGCTTAGACACAGAATACTTATTTTTAATGCTTGTTGTGGCTGTTATGTGCTATCAAGTTGCCTGTGACTCATAGTGACACTCTGAGTACAACAGCTCTCAAGCCTGCCCTATCCTGAGCCAGTCTCACTGACTCCAATATACCTAACCCCATTACCACAGTGTCAATCCATTTCATCCAGGGTTGCCTCCTGCTATATCCCTCCTCCCTTCCAAGCATGACACCCTTCTCCAAGGACTAGTCCCACCTGGCCACATGCTCAAGTATGTGAGACGGAACTTTGAACACACACACACACACACACACATTTCAAGCAATCTCATTGCCCTCCAGTAGAAACGGACTTAAAGCTAACCGTCCAATGCATTTCAGAGGCTATCAATTGCACAGAACAATTTGGTGATTCTTCTTCCTTGGTGTCGCTGGTGGGTTTGTGTTACTTTTGAATTAGCAGAATAACTCTTTACAGACTATACCATCATAGCTCCCTGTATTTCTCCCTAGTCACTAGTAGACAAAAACTCAAATTAGGAAAGGCTAATGATCTTACTAGGGAAGTCTATGGCCTAGTTGTAAGGAACTGCACTACAATCTCAAAGGTACACACTTCAAATCCACCAGCTTCTCCACAGAAGAATGATGGGCAACCCCCTCTCATGCCCTACTGCAGGATCAACTATGAATTGGTTTCAACTAGATAGTACACATCAATAAATGAGAACAACATTAATTTGCAGCTGTTGTTGTTGTCAAGTACTATTGAATCGTAGATGACTCATATCAACCCTATGAACGAAAGACCTGAACACTTGTATAACTTTTATCATTTCTCCATGTTTATAGAGTTTCTGGAGGCAAACCATTTCGGAAGTGGATGCCACTCCTGCTTCCAAGCTTGTTTTAATCAGGAAGCTCCACCAAACACTGTCCACCATGGCTAACCATTATCGCATTTGACACATCAGTGTCACAGTGTTTAGCATCACAGCCACCATGAGTTACTGCTGTTCAGCAATGTACAGACCAGTGCTATACCACTTAGAAGAATATTTGACCAAAACAATTTAAACCAGGCCTGAGGGCTTCAGATTAAAATCGCCTCACTTGGGCTTGGTTGCATAACTTTCTGTCCTAGCATAAGTAATATAAGCAAGTTGCCAAAAAATTCTAACTCATGCACAAACAGCAGTCGGTCTCTGGAAAGAATGTGCAGTAATATTTGAAAAACTCGAGTTGTTTCGTTTTCTTTATAATTTTTATTTTTATTCTTTTTTACATATTTTTAAATTTTATTTTTATTATTTGTGTGTGTGTGTGTGTGTGTGTGTGTGTGTGTGTACCGTCAAATCAGATCTGACTGGTACAGGAGGAGATTGTCCCTCCTTCCCCAGCAGAGCATCTGGTGGATTCGAACCGTGCGCCTCTGCGACTGCAATGCAGGTTCTTGCCAATAGGCCACCAGAACTCCCCTTTTCTTTATAATTTTTGGATTTCAAATATTAGTTTATGTAGTGTCATAGAAATTTATCTTTGTATTTTGTGACTAATTGACATTAAATTTTACTTCAACATCACATGACTAATTACTTCAATATGTATTCATTTTAAAGAAAGCAAACATATATATCTTGCCTTACAAACTCTTCCAACTCGAGAAAGGATGGTTTTATCAGAAGTACTGCCTTCTTGAGATGATTCATGGAAGAAGAAATATATTTTGTCATCATCTGGATTATAGGTATCTGGTATGGGAAAAGTTCCAATAAATTTTGCTCCTGTTTAAGAGGAAAAGGGCAGAAATTAAATACTGTAATGATTATATCACCATAGGTGCATTTTGTATATCAAATTAGTTGTAATATTTTTTTTAAAATAAACAATCCTCAGTATGAAATGATTGTGAGAAATATGTATGCAAATATACATGACATGATACAAAAATATATATTACCATAAAGAGGTCCTCATGGAGTTCTCTAGGAACCCCACAGTGTAGAGGACTTCAGATACAAGGCCTTGTTAGACACATTTACTACAACTCTACTAAACTACCTAAAAGCCTCTAGAAAACTGGAGAAAGGATTAAAAGTTTTGTAATTTCCTGATATCCATCCTTCTCCCAGGGAACAGCTATTAGATTTGAACCACATGCCTTTGGGATTACAGCAAGCTTCACCAGAGCTCCCACTATAGTAGTATTGTTATTTTTTAGCCACATGTATTTAATGAGGAATTTAGGAGAAAAAACACAAGTGCAAAATTTCAACATACTATGTGCTTTCTGATGCATTTCTCCAAAGAAAGAAATAGTGAAACCAACTGTATTTGGGTTGATAGGATTTTCAGATATTTACTTTTACATCAATGTGACATGCACGACTGTTTCATATGCATGTTGTTCATATATGCTGTCAAATAGCCTGTAACTCATTGTGACCCTATGTACATTAGCTCTGAAATCTGCCCTATCCTGAGCCAATCTCATTGTCTCTGATAGACCTAGTTCCATTGCTCTAGTCACTGAGTCAATCCATGTCATCCTGACTCTTCCTTTCCTGCACTGTTCCTCCACCCTTCCAAGCATGATGTCCCTCTCCAGGAACTGGACCCTCCTGGCCACGTGCCCAAAATACAGGACATGGAGCCTCAAAATCCTTGCCTCCAGGGAGTAGTCTGGTTTCACCCTTTCCAGAACAGAACTATTTGTTCTCCTGGCAGTCCACAATATGTTAAACACTGTTCTCCAGCACCACAACTCAAAGGCATTGATCTTTTTTTCTGTTTTCCTTAATTATTGTCTAGCTTTCTGATGTATGGCATGTAATTGTGAAGACCAAGACCTGGAGCAGGTGCACCTTAGTCTCCAGAATGACATCATTGTTCTTCAATAATTTAGAGAGGTCCTCAATGCAATTCATGTTAATTTCTTGGCTACTGATTAATTTATTTTTTGACTACTGATGCCAAGAGTGTTGATTGTGGAGCCAAGCAAGCTGAAGTTGTCAATAATTTCAATCTCTTTTCTGTCTATCAGGAAGCTGCCAAAAGGTCCAATGGTGAGAATGTTTGTCTATCTGATGTTGAGCTTCAATCCATATTAAAGACTACAATCATTGACCTTCTGCAGCAAATGCCTTATGTCCTCTAGAGTTTCTGCAAGCCTGGTTGTGTCATCTGCTTAACTCAGATTGTTGATGAATTTTCCTCCAATTCTGATGCCACATTCCTCCTCATAATGCCCAGTCTCCCAAATGATCTGCTCTGCGCACAGATTGAAAAGATATGGAGATGGGGTACATCCCCGGCACACTCCTTTCCTGATCCTGAACTATTTAAAATAAATTCATTTTTTCAGGCCATGATTATCAAGATTCTATAGAATAATTCAGATCACAAAATGAGGCATTCCTCCTTTCTGTAATCTGATGTAATTATGCCATATGTTTTAATCTTAACTCTGATGGTCTACTGGGAGCAGAGTTATGGTTTTAATCTAAAAAGAAGTGGTTCAAATCCACCAACTGCTACATGAGAGAAAGCTGTCAAGCCCCTCTTGTGTGATTTATGGTCTCTAAAAATCTGCTGGAAGATCAGCTAGGAGTTGGTCACCTAGCAATGCTGTTAGTCAGTCAGGCTTAGTGGTAGTTATGTAAATAGTAAAACTTACAGTTCAGGGTTATATATCTTGAGTCATTTTCTTCTTATTTATAAAATATTTAAATAAATAAACCACAAAAAAGGAGAATTTGAAGTAGAATTCATCCTTTGGGTCAGGTTCTCTGAGCTAAGAAATTCCTAGATACAAGGAAAAAATTGATGACATAGACCTTCCTCTAAATCTAATATATAGACAGAGATAGATCTTTGCACTAGAACTAGTGCCCTTAATTAATACATGTTGCCTTCTAAATTGTGAGAGAGTTAGTTTTTTTGTAAAAGGCATATAGTTATTTTCTTTATTGTAGCACTAAACAATTCAGAGTTTTATTGCTGTATCACAGATGTATGTATATTTCAGAAATGCACAGCTTAACCTACTTTAAATATATTAAAATACTACCCAAGTATTGTTATAATTGGCATTTCTAATTGTCAAAGATAAACTGTGATACTAGCCCACATATCAAAAATTTCATCATTTTAACAAAGCAAAACGAAGAGATATATTTCTGAGCGCTATTTATTTTACCTTGAATTAAAATATAATGTAGATGATCTTGTTGTGCTTATTCTATCACTGTTTATTTTATTGAATGCTATTTTGAATATTGGTAATTTTTTTCCAAGTACTGGATAACAGTTGTGTTTATATGAAGAAATTAAATTATGAAGGAACACAAAAAGCACCAAATTTCATGATTTGAATATGTACATGTATGTGTTAAAAATAAATACAAGATTATAAGGTCTTCCTTTATAGACTGAACAAACATGCAATCAAGATACATTTATAGTAATAAGTGACTGGAATGAAAAAGTTGGGAACAGAGAAGAAGGATCAGTAGTTGGAAAACATAGATTTGGTGACAGAAATGAAGCTGGAGAATGATAGAATTTTACACAATCAATGACTTTTTCATTGCAAATACATTTTATAGGAAACATAAACACAGACTATACTCATGGATTTTACCTGATGGTATACATAGGAATCAGATTGATTCCATCTATAGAAAGACCTACTAGATAACCTCAGTATCAGCTATGAAAAATAGGTCAGGAGCTGATTATGGAACAGATTACCAACTACTCATAATGAAAGTTCAAGCTGAAGCTAAGTAAAATTAAATCAAATCCACAGGAACCAAAATATGACCTTGAATCCATCCCACCTGGATTTCAAAGCCATCTCAAGAACAGGTTTGAGGCCTTGAACACTAATATGTGAAGATCAGATGAGTTCTTGGAGGATATAAAGAATATCATCAAGAAAGAGTGCAAATGGTCATTACAATGACAGAGGAGGAAGAAAAGACCAAAATGGATGTCAGAAGAGACTCTGAATATTGCACTAAAGTGCCGAGAAGCCAAAGTAGAGGGAAGAATTCAAGATATTAAGGAGCTGAACAGAAGATGTCAAAAGGCATCATGGGAAGACAAAGTATTATAATGAAATGGGCAAAGGGATGGAGTCAGAAAATCAAAGGGGCCAAAGCTTCTCAGCATTTCTTAAGCTGAAAGAACTGAAGAACAAATTCAAGCCTCTAGTTGCAATACTTAAGGATGCTTTGGGCAGAATATTAAATGATCCAGGAAGTATTAAAAGAAGATGGAAAGAATATACAGAGTCATTGTACCAAAAGGGATTGGCAGGTACAGAAGAATTTCACAAAACAACATATGAGCAATATTCTGTGGTGATGAAGAAAGAAGTTCAAGTGGCTTTGAAAGAAATGGCAAAAAAATAAGGCCTCAGAAGTGAATGATATATCAATTGACATATTTTAACTAACACATGCTGCCCTTGATGTTTTCACCAAGTTGTGTCAAGAAATCTGGATGACAACTACTTGAGCAACTGACTGGAAGAAATTTATATTTGTTCCTATTCCAAAGAAAAGAGATCCAGCAGAGTGTGGAAATTATTGAATAATATCATTAATATGACATGTAAGCAAGATTCTGCTGAAGATTATCCAAAAATGACTGGAACAGCACATCAACAGAAAATTACTAGACGTGCAGGCTGGGTTTATAAGGGGTCATGGTACTAGGGATATTGTAGTCAATGTTAGATGGATCTTAGCTGAAAGCAGGGAGTACCAGAAGAATGTTCATATGTGTTTCATTGATTATGCAGAAGCATTTGACTCTGTGGATCACAACAAACTAAGGCTAACTCTGAGAACAATGGGAATCCCAGATCATGCTAACATGAAACCTATACTTGGACCAGGAGGCAATCGTGAGAACAGAGCAAGGGAACACTGCAATCAAAATTGGGAAGAGCGCATGCCAGGAGTGTGTACTATCTCCATACCTTTTCAACCAACAAACAACAGGTTATCCAGGAGGCTTGGCTCTACGAGGAGAAATTTGGCATCAAGATTGGAGGAAGACTTATCAACAATCTGATGACACAACAGATGACTCAACAGGGCTGGCTGACTCTGAGGTGGTCTGAAGTGCTTGCTGCTGAAAGTCAAAGACTGCAGCTTTCAGTATGGATTGAGGCTCGATATCAAGAAAAAAAAAGGTTCCCACCACTGGGCCAATTGGTAGCATCATGATAGATGGTGAAGATATTGAGATTATTAAGAGCTTTAGTTTGCTTGGCTCCACAGTCAACATCCTTGGCACCAGTAGCCAGGAACTTAAAAGACATATTGCAATGGGAAACTCTGCTGTTAGAGACCTCTCCAAAGTACTGAAGAACAAAAATGTCAGTCTAGAGACTAAAGTACACCTGATACAGGCCATGGTTTTTGCAATTACTTGGTATGCAGAAAGCTGGATAATGAGTAGGGATAATAGAAGGATAATTGATGCTTTTGAGTTGTGTTTTTGGAGAAGAGTATTGAATATACCACAAACTGCTAAAAGAAAGAACAGGTTCATCCTGGAGAAGGTTAAATCAGGCTGCTCCTTAGAGGCAAGGTTTCTGAAGCTTTGTCTGACATATTTTGGACATGTTGTAAGGAGTGACCAGTCCTTGGATAGGGATGTCATGCTTAGGTGGGAGGAGGGACGGCTCAAGAAAGGAAGACTATGAGATGGGTTGATTCAGTCACTGGGGTAAGGAGGGTGGAGGTGTCAGAGACAGTGAGATTGGTAC